TGCGAACATTTATAGAGAATCTGGCCCATGCCAACATCTTTTATATGGATTACTTCATATATTTTTTAAAAAATAAACAATAAAAGAGGCATGTGAGAAAATGTTTTAAAGACTACAAAAATGTAATATGATCTTTTCATTATTTTTAATGTCTCAGAATGAGATTTAACTGACTATATGCTTGTAATTTTTCTACTGGCTGTGCTCGAAGTGGTGTTTGCTCGCCACTTGTCAAACAATCACCCCTCACCCTGGCCAGTGTGGCTCCGGTGGTTAGCATCACCCCATGCACTAAAGCATCATCAGTCCAATTCCTTGTGGGGACACATGCTCAGGTTTGGGGGTTCAATTGATCAATGTTGCTCTCTCACTCTCCCCCTCTCTCTCTCTCTCTCTCTCTCTCTCTCTCTGTCAATAAACACACATATTTTTTAAAAGCCTCCCAGTTCTGATTTTTTTTTAAAAACCACGCCTCCTCCATAACTCTCTATAGCCTTACCTAGTTTAACTGTTCTTCCTAGCATTTCCTACCATATATCTTAGATATTTTTTGCTCTTTCTTTATTGTATATTCACCATTTCTCCATTAAAATACAATTCCACAGGGGGCTTTATATTTCAATGTATCCACAATACATAGGGCAGTTTCAGGTATGTGGCAAACACTTGTTGAATGAATGAATGAATGGGCTTTTGCTTCAAGTAGTAGGATTTGAGGTGACACATTTAAATAGATAATTGTGGCGAATTTGGAGGATGATAGCGATGTCTAATACTCAGCCTTAGGTGTAATTATACTGTGTGTGTCTAAGGTAACCTCTCTCCATTACCTTCAAACCTTCAGTAGAATTGCCTGTACCCAGCATCCTGTGGGAGGGGTGCCCTGAGGGAAATGAGCTGACAGGAGCCTGGAAGCACAGTCACTGCCAGTTCCCTGTGACAGCAGACACTAGAATGTGGACCTCCCAAAGGTTGAGTTTCTTTCCTGACATTCCCAGAAGGTTGCAAAGAACTCTGGGCTTCCCACAGAATGTGAGATGGAGATCCATGTCCTTCTGTTAAGAAATAGAAGAAAAGGTGACTCCATTGAGCAGATAGAATGGGAGAGGAGGGACATCTGAATTGTACTTTTCTCTGAAAAATGTACCAGCTAGAGTGATGAAGAGGTATCTCTATAAAAGGGAAGCTTTGACCTCATTGAGGTGATGCTTTCTGACCTTCTGAGGGAAACTTCAGGAGCAGAATACCCACTTAGCTATCTTATTCCCACGGCCAGTTGGTTTCTTGATGAGTTCCAAAGGTCCTGAGCTACCATCCATAATTACATTATTTCTGAATCAGGTTCATTTCTGACTCAGACATGAGTCTGAAGACCTAAGGATGGGGTTTCGATTCTGCTTCCCTAGGAATGCCTCTTCTGCCTGTGCATAATCCAAAACCCTAGGGAAAAAGAAACAACAAAACACAGAAAGGAAAACAACAACAACAAAAACAAAAAACAAAAAACAAAAAAAACCTGATCTCTATAACTTCAGAACTTAACCAGACTCCTTTGAAAAAATGCAATTTGACAGCAGGTGATACGACTTCTTAGCTTAGGACCAGGCTTAACTCCCTAAGGAAATTTTTCTTTTTAGAAGATGTGTGTGTGTGTTTTTCCATTTACAGTTGATGTTCAATGTTATGCTCTATTAGTTCCAGGGGTATGACCTAGTGGTTGGACAAGAGTCCGGCTTGGAGGAGCCAGGTTTCTCTCTCCAATCCCCCTCTCTCCATCAGCTGTTGTTTCAGATCAGTCGCTCTTGCAGCGAAGTCCCCAGAGGAGCTCTTTTCCTGTTAAGTTGTGGTAAGTCAAAACCTACTTCAGAGAATGCAGAGTCACCACGATGGGGGGCTTCAGTTGTCTGAAAGGAAAAAAAACCTCAAACTACTGAACCTGAAGTGACCTTTTTTTTTTTTTTTTTTTAGCTGTTCTTTGGGTTTAGCGTTACTTAGAGAAACCGTGGCCGATTCCATTTTTAATGAGCCTATTCAAACGTTTTGGGATTTTGACATCCTGTCTATTTCTACCGAGGTAAAGAAAAGTAAGTCAGGATCCTAAAGAAACTGTGAACCTCTCTTCCATAGAACCAGAACTTAAAGCATGGTGAGCTACACACCTGTCTCCAGAGAACGTCAAAGGCATTGAGCAGGGCAGAGATAAAGGTTATAAAAGTGGCAAAACCGGTATGACGAGCTGATGGCACATCACACCAGCTCATCTCAGGGGGCAGAAATGGGGCCACAGGACAGGGTGAGAAGGGAACTTCTTTCCTCCTATCTTTGCATATCCTTTAAATTTTGTACAATGAGCATGCATTGCCTATTCAAATCCATCCAAAGAAAAAAACAAATTAGTGATGGGTACATAATTGATTGGCTGACTTCAGATGAGTGATAAAAAATGAAATGAAACCAGATAGTCTGTTTGTGTAATTTTTCTCCTGCAACATCCAGCTGCTAGGATGCCAGCATAGAGAAAATTGGATTTTCCCAAGAGGATTACAGTGAACGAAACAGAATATTGGGGGTTGAGGGTCTTTCCAAGATAGTGATTGTTATGACAGATGATAGAATATCAGCCAGACAGAGAGGAGTGAAAATAAAGAAGCTGATGGATATGCAAGAAAATAATAGAGCTCATTAATTAGAAGTCTCAATATGGTAAATACACACACACACACACACACACACACACACACACACACACACACGAGGCCCAATGCATGAAATTCATGCAAAGAGTAGGCCTTCCTTCCCCCAGCTGCCAGCACCAACTTCCCTCTGGTACCAGAGACCCAGACTTCCCTTGCAGCCCTGGCTTCATCCGGAAGGTCATCCAGAAGGATGTCTGGTCTAATTAGCATATTACACTTTTATTATTATAGATATAGATAGACAGATAGATAGATAGATAAAATGTTGAAGCAATTAAGCTTGAATAATAGATTTGTGAAAATAAAATGCCTGAAATAACCGAGACCGGTTTGGCTTAATGGATAGAGCATCGGCTTGGGGACTGAAGGGACCTGGGTTCGATTCCGGTCAAGGGCATGTACCTTGGTTGCGGGCATATCCCCAGTAGGGGGTGTGCAAGAGGCAGCTGGTCGATGATTCTCTCTCATTGATGTTTCTAGCTCTCTATCTCTCTCCCTTCCTCTCTGTACAAAATCAATAAAATATATTTTTTTAAAATAAAATAAATAAAATAAAATGCCTGAAATAAAATTTCAAAGGAAGTATGGTAATGTTTAACAATGACAGTCTAGAGAAGGCCATGGTAGTGGCTGAAGATAATAGGAAAAAGAATTGGGAGTGATCTAAGTGAAAATGCAAGAAGCCAGTCACTTCTCAAGAGCAGTGACTTCTGAAGAACAAAGTGTCTCTCACAGAGTAGCTTATAAATAATGGCACATACCTTTTTTTTACATTCTACTATGTGTCAGATACTTTATGTATATATTGGCCCTTTTCTGTCTAAGAGAGGTCAAGGGGCCTGCACAGTGAATATATAGTTAATAAGTGAAAGAACGAAGATTCAAACTCAGGTTATTTTATTTTATTTTTTAATATATTTTATTGATTTTGTACAGAGAGGAAGAGAGAGAGATAGAGAGTTAGAAACATCAACGAGAGAGAGTAATTGATCAGCTGCCTCTTGCACACCCCCTACTGAGGATATGCCTGCAACCAAGGTACATGCCCTTGACCGGAATCGAACCCGGGACCGTTCAGTCCCCAAGCCGACACTCTATCCATTGAGCCAAACTGGTTTCGGCAAACTCAGGTTATTTTAGACCAAAGCCTGTGCCCTTTCCACTATGCCCACAGGAAAAGACAAGTTGTCATCAAACCTATGGAAAGTTGGGTGAGCTTAACCCCGGCAATAATAATAGCAATGGAAACTTTGAATAATGGGAGACAGAGAGGGAAGAAAATACAGAGAGGGGACCAGAACCTGGTAAAGTCCTTCTCACCTAGTAAATTCTCCTTAAAGTGGTCGTAAGTCATAGTGAATTAAGAGGCCATGAAGAAATAAATACTAAGGAAAAAAGCAAAATCTTTTTGACTTCTAAAAAGTACATCCATATTGCTTATCTGTATTCTAAAATATAGTTTTTATTACATGTATTCTTTTCATTTAAAATGCACAATATTTATATATAAATATTGGTTATATTATAGGAAAACAGCATCACTAGGTGACAATCCAAGATTAGAGGACTGTTAGAGTAGGTTGCCAAGAAGCATTTGAAACCAATACCAAATGTATCCCCTAATTTCCTAACATGTTCTTCCTATTTAGGTAGCTTTCCCAATCTCTCTCTCTCTCTCACTCACACACACACACACACACACACACACACACACACACACACACCCCTACAATTGCTCTGGAAACATTCATGCTGTGTAGGGAATGGACTGCATCCCCCAAAGATATCCCTAGCTTTTCTGTTTCCACCACCTGGCAGCTGAGGCTATGGCTTTGGAAGGAAAAATGCTGCCACTGGGACACCAGCCTTTCAGTTTCTTGAGCTTATCATGCAAGCCTAGTCCCCTTTTTCCATCCCTTGTACCTGAAAGACAGCCTCCCCTGAGGTAGACAGTAGACCCACTGCAGGAGGTGAGTTATAAGGTGTCCTTTGCAATGTGCCCAAACACGCTTGGCCTCTGCAGCTGAATGTAGACCACCCTGGTATCTGCTTTGCCCCATCTTGCATGTTGACATGCAGCCCAGAGTGCTATGTTCATCAGCTATCTTCCTCCTCCTGTCTGGCTGATGGATGTTGGGTGAGATGAGGAACCATAGACCTGCTGGACTCTGTGGCCTCAGAATCCTCTTGGTTTATGTCTTCTCACTTGACCTCAAGTGGGCTTTAGAAGACCCTCTTTCAAGAATAGCATTCTCAGCTCCTGTATCAAGGAGCCATGATGGAGAGAATCCCAAAGTGCTTTTCTTAGAGCTTATATAAGCCAAAAAATGTCTTAGATTCTTCAAAATTGACCAGAGAGTACTCAGACACATTAACATATAAGTGGTCAGCACTGGTGAGATTGAACACCGCACCCAGGTAGCTGCTACGGGCCCACATCTGGCCGACGGTGCAGTAGTCCATCATCTTCTCCTCCATCAGCACCAGGTCCTTGGGATAATCCAGGCTCCTCATATAGACCTTGTGGTTCAGGGGCTGTTTCTTGCAGGACTGACCCCGGAAGTATATTTTGGAATACACAAAGTACAGCCCAGTGTCATTGATCACTATGCTGCTCTTCTTATACTTCACCCCGGAGATCAGGGCAATTCCATAGGTGTCTTCCCATTCCAGAGGAATGGATCTTGAGTCGGGCTTGCCTAAAACCAAGTCAGAGAGGAGCTTTTAGCCAGGGATGCTCACACACCCAACAAACTAAGCTTCCAAGACAAAACTGTGGACCTGTCCTTCCTGGAGCAAGAGTTGTGTGTGTGTGTGTGTGTGTGTGTGTTTGTGTTTTAACCAAAATGACATAGCCCCCATCGAGCTGGCCAACAGGTCAGACTCACCCATCACTAAATTCCTTCTTAGACACATAATTGGATGTAACCTTAACCATGTGCAATAAGAAGTTAGTGAGAGTAGCTTGGCTCTCTGGAACACATGTTCTATGATCTTCAGAAATAGAAGGTTAGGCTCTATGGTCCTTTCATGAGGGAAAAAGCCAAATCCAAGGATCTCTACGGATCTTAAGTTGGAAAGGACCTTAGGGACCCAACTCCTCACCTCCAGTCCCCCTCTTTGGGCTGAAACCCCCTTTCCTCTGTGTCCTCACAACATCATGCACATGCCTTACACAGAGAACGCTCTCCAGTATTGAAGTGATGACCTGTGTATCCATTTCCCTATTGGATTTTAGGCTTCTTGAAGGCAGGAAGCATGTATTGTTTCTCACCATGTCCCCAAGACTTGGCATATACACATGTACCTGCTCTATAAAAGCCTGCTCCTGGGCTGGATCATTCTGCCTAAATAATCCCACGGACAGAGGCACACACGGTCTGTGATACTCATTCACTTCTCGGGTGTGTATGAACTTCCCACAGGGACTGCCCCTCCCACATCGCTATCAATCATTTCACTCCACAAACAACCAGAGACTGGAAGCCCACCTGTGCCAGGCCTGGGCCTCTTCTCGAGTTATCACCTCCCTCAAAACACAGCAATGCTGTTCTACTTTCTGCCTCTTTCACCTTTCCGATACACACCTGTCAAATGGGCCACTTTCCTCTGTTCCCCTTTTCCAGAGGCTGGAATGGAGTGACCTGTATCGTAGAGAGATGAGATATAGAAGTAAAAATGAGATGTTGACTATTCTTTTGGTGGAACTCTAAACAGGGCATTTAAATAAAAGAGATTTTTTTAAAGCATAAATAGCAACAGTAGGATACATACTAATGCAAATCCAAACTGTGGAACTCATCATCCCTGTATTACAGACTCAGAGAGGTAAAAAACAAACCAAAATTAAGGCAGACATAGGCGTGTTATTCTGTTATAATAAAATGACATTCATTAACAATTTTATTCATTCAGTAAGAGCTGTCATATCAGTTACTGCAGTTAGAACGTGCCACAACCCTTTCAGGTAGAGATCCCAGTCCCACCTCGCAGCAGATGGCAAAATGAGCTTAGGAGTTGGGTGGCTTGTCCAAGAAGCTCCGGCGACTCAGGGTCAGAGTGGGACCGACACTGGGGAATCCTGACTCCTAATCTGGGACTCTTTCTGCTCTGGCTTTACTGTCCCTAAGACTCAGCAGGCCAGAGGGTGGAGAGCACTACTAATTCCCCTCCTGGCTGCTAGGTGTTCCCCCAAAAAGCATCCTATAACCTGCCCTAAATGAATTATCCTAAGGTTCAGACAGCTTGAATAGGTTCATAAGAACGTACAATTGTGTATGGTTCCCCTAGGCCTCCTGGTATGACCTGAACATGCCCACCTCTCTGTCTCTGTGCCTTAGCTCATGTTGCTCCTTCTACCCAGAATGCCCTTCCAAACCGATCTTTATGTTAAGTTGCTATCAACCCTATAAATACCATAGAAAATACCTCTTTCTTTGGGGCACCCTCCCAAGCCTTTTTAATCAAATAGGATTTTCCCCTCCCAGAATCATGCTGTCTTCACCTCTCTTGTCAACTTGGACACCCACCCCTTTTCTTTGAAGACCTTGTAACTAGTCTAACTCTCTCAAATAAATGGTAAATTCCTTATGACAGGTCTAATCCACCAGAGTACTCAGCTCAGTTTCTAAGACAGGGCATGGTGACCGGTAAATGATTGCTAAGTTAAATTGAGAAGTTAAAATAGAGAATAGATCTCAAAACAAGACACTACTTCTCTGATTTCAAATATTTAACTGAATAGAGCTATAGAGCTACCACATGAATTGAGCTAAGACATTGGAGAGTCTTAGAAAGGCGCATGACAAGGCCCTAACAACTGAGAACGTTGCCCGAGCTCTCACTACCTCTGCGGCCACCCAAGATTACCCAACATGAATGAGGTGCTAGTGAACAGGAAAGGCAAAGCTGACTTTTGCCTGTATTCCTGCACCACAAGCCATCTGTGCAGCTGATCTGGCTTTAGGCCATGTTCTGACAGGAAATGGTGCATATCTTTATAGCCCTCAGGGAGCCTTGTATGGTAAGTTCTCATAGAAAGCATTCAGCAAGATTACCTGCTGGACGAATATTGGAACAAGGAAACTAGATATATATCCCATACTTTGGTGATGACTGTTTCCTACCCCAGGATCTTTACACATGTCATTCTCACTGCTGAAATGCTTTCCCTTATCCTTTCACTGCACTACACACACACACTCTCTCTCACTCACAATCACAAGACCTCCTCGGGACTTTCCAGATCACTCTGCCTTAGGCACACTCAGCACACTTTGGAAAGATATGGTTTGTTTGCCCGATTTGGTTTAGCTTCTCTGGCTTGCTTCAAGCTCCATGAGGGTTCTCAGAGGTCACCCCCAACCCAACACCCATCCTGGCACATAGGAAGCACCCCAAGAACATTTGTGAATGAATAAAAGAGGTAATGAATGAACTGTGGCAAAATGGAAGATGAAAAAGAAAGACATAAGGAAGCTTAGTGCCGCCCAGAGGGAATCAGTTACCATGCTAAAATATAAATTCTTCCAGTTCTTTACTGAGAACATAAAGATATAAAAATATGCATATATGTAGCCAATATTAAACTAACTTGTGTTTTTACCTAACACTATAAAGTGCACACTCTCCATGGCATTAAGTGTCCTTCTAATATATGATTTTTAGCTGCTGTTTATTATGCTGTCATCTCAATATACCATGGTGTATTCAACTAATCTCCTATTAAGAGGCATTTGCATTTCTCCTGAATTATTTATTACAAATAGCCTTCTAAGGAAGTGATGAACATCCATGTACAGCTCTCATTGTTTTCTAAAGATAAATTCTTTGTGATAAGACTACAAGGTAAATTAACAGTTTTGATCCTTTGATATATGTTTCCAAATTACTCTTCAGAAAAGGGATAGTAATTTATAGGCCCCTGGCTGTCCATCATGTTTAAGCAGCCCCTTTCTCTCAATGCTTCCCAGCTGGGTTTTTTTAACCTTTCCTAATGTGATGGCTGAAAATGGGTATCTCTTGTTTTAATTTGCATCTCTTATTAGTAAAGTTGCTCATTTGATTTCCATGTGATAATTAACCAATTTTGGATCCATCTGGGTTGATCTGGAGAAGATGATTGTTTTGGGGTTGGCAGACCTGACTCATCTGCTTGCTTGACTTTTAATCACTAAAACCACTCCAGGGAGTGAGGAAAAGGTGAGTAATTAGGTACCTGTTTCACCAGCCACATTCCACTAATTTTCAAATCTACTTTATTTGGACATCTTCTAGAGGCTTTGTTTTTTTCTAGCAAATATTTTGACACTGCTTGTGCCCATCTGGACTTTCCTTCCCAAGGGACTTGGACCCAGAGTTGGGGACCAGAGCCTCCTGAGGTTGGCTCCTACATTCCAGGCAGTAGGGTGATTTGGATCACCTGAGCGGGCACTTCCTGAGGAATGGGCTCCCCTTACTGACTGGCCAGTGCTGCCTTATGTTTCTTCCCAATTTCTAATAAGATTTACTTACTGTCTTCCCAGAGGCATCTTTCTTGCCATCTTTATTTCTCATTTCATAATCATCACAGAGAGATGGGTTTTGCCTTATTTCACGAGGTATCGGTCCATATACTGGAAAGCCCTGTAGTTCCACACCAGTGGTTTGGGTCACGTGACCTAATCTGCCTGGTGTTTTGTCCCTCTCCTGAAAAGTGAGATGCCTGGACCAGATGCTGTCTTAGCCCCCTTCCCATTCTTATCATATCTAAAGGTTCATAAACCCTAGGCTCACCTATCTGCCTTAAATCTGTCTGTCCACAGTTTCCAAAACTATGTCCTGAAATGTGATGAGAAATGCTCAACATTTCTCCTTCCTCCTGTCCTGGATCTCATACAAAGGATTTTCCTTTATTATTATTTTAAAATATATGTTTTTACTGATTTCAGAGAGAGAAAGGGAGAGAGAGAGAAACATCAATGATGAGAGAGAATCATTGATTGCTGCCTCCTGCACACCCCACACTGGAGATTGAGCCTGCAACTCAGGCATGTGCCCTGACGAGGAACCGAACCAAGAACTCCTGATTCATAGTTTGACACTTAACCACGGAGCCGTGCCAGCCAGCCCTTTCCTTTATCGTTGAAGTTAGTTCACAATGACCTCTGTGGTTGAAGCTGGACCACCCTTTGAATAATGGCTGACATCTTCCCCCAATCTTTCTAGTGATTGCAAAAGAATCATCCTAATGTGGATGATTGGTTTCCCACTTTTAAAAGCTTCAGTACATCCTATGAAATGCTTTAACTAAAGCTTGACTATTGATTAATCTCTTAGGTAATTTAAAGAGAAGACCTTTCCTAGAAACATCTCTCTCTCTCTTTCTCTTTCTCTTTCTCTCTCTCGCTCTCTCTCCTCCTTCACCCCCCCCCCCCACCTCTCTGGGGAGTTACAGCCACCACCCTATGCCTGGGGCCCAGGAGGCCTGAGGCAGGAGACTTCCCTGGAGCCAGCTGCTCAGGAGGCAAAGATCCAGGGTTGAAAAGGTGTATGTCTCTTCCCAAAGTCAAGTGGAAGTTATTTTTAATTGTGTGCCGTTCTCAGATAGACTTATTTTGAACAACTAACTTGACTTCATAGTTGAAGGCAACTCAAGGAACCAAAAGGACCAGAGATTCAGAGTCAGCCAGGATTCCTATTGCAGTAAAATGTGTCCGAGAATGGATGCAATTCACAGCCTTCCACCCACAGGGCCAGCTCTGAGGACCATCTTGGGAAACTCAATGTGCATGCAGAAAAGGACTCACCTACTTGCTTCTCCAAAGATGATTCCATATGCCGTTGGCTGGAGGACTGACAAAGAGAAAAAGAAAAAGTCGTATAATAAATGTAAAGTTCTCTAAGCAAAGGAGGCAGAATTGCTAAATATACCAGGCTCGGGGAAGGCATCTACACACCTCACAGCCTCTCGTACCTCGGACTTTGGCCGAGCAGCTGTGTCTCCCTGTGCCTCAGCTGTGTGATTTAGCATATTTCTGATATTTTAAACTCTTTTTTAAAAAATTTTTTTTTAGTTTGGCCATTTGCACAAATTCACTTCTAATCAATACTCAGCGTTCCTTTTCCTGAGTCACTAAGGTCGTGGCTCACGAGGCTGCCTTGCCATCTCAGGAAGGAAGAATGTAGCTGCAGCCTCTCATGATCCTTTCTTTACATGATAAAAAATATTCCTTTTACTTATACGAGCCCCCAGTTCTCTATCTGTAGCATAAAATGGCTAAGACGATCCACCTGAAGGGCGGGGATAAAGAGCGGAAGAGCACTTTGCAAGGAAGACCGTGGTCCGTGCGGACCAGGAAAGCCTGACACCGTCCACCGCGCGGAGCTGTCTCAGCCCAGCACTCGGGCCCCAGCAAGCCCAGCACTTACCTCTCTGAGCTCGGCCAGCTCCTTCTGCAGGTGGAACAGCTGAAACATCCCCAGCCCCAGCGCAACCAGGGCCACCAGGATCATGAAAAACATCACAAGGAGACACAGGCCTGGGTTGTGGTCCCTCTTCTTCAGAGGTGGCAGTGGCAGTGGAGGCAGGGGTGGCAGTGGCAGTGGCAGTGGCGGTGGTGGTGGTGGTGGTGGTGGTGGTGGCGGCGGCGGTGGCCTCCTCTGACCAGTTCTTCTAGGCACCGAGGAGGGACAGGGGAGGACTGTCCCTGGAGGAGTCCAAGGGGAGGGGGCGCTGCTGTCCACCCAGTAGATTTGGGGGTACGGGTAGTTCAGGGGCTGCTGCATGGCAGCCACAGACTCGAGCCGCCCCCAGCAAAGGGCGTGCCTCCTTCTCAATCCCTGGAGTCCGGATGTCACGGAGGGAGCATCTGCTGCTGACTGCTCGAGAGGAGGGAGCCGGCGCCTTCTTTATAGAGTTTCCATGGTCAAAGGCAACACCTCTCTTGCGTTGTCTCTCTTGCAGCTTCTCACAGAGACACCCACTCACTTTGCATCTGAAGCTGAGAACCCTCAGGAAGCTCAGCACAAACCCCGGGAAGTTTCCACCCACAATTTTCTGATGAAAGCCCGCACTGCCCAATGCCGGAGAGGCTGGCGCGAGGCTGGGCGGGCCCTGTGAGCAGGTAGCACCAGGTGTAGGCCCGTGGCTTCAGCCACCGCCCCGCTGCGAGCACAGTGGCCACGGGGTGCATCCAGGCTCTGAGGGGCACGGCCGTGGAGTTGTGGCAGGAAGCGTGGCTTTCACATCTTACCTTTTACGTGAAAGTCTCATCCCCTGCTGTCATCGTCTCCCCGCACAAAGCCTTTGTACCCGACCTTCCAAAGCACCGTCATTTACAGTGAAACACCTACCCCACCCACTGGCCAGAGAGTCCACCCGAGGTTGCAAACCAGGAGCCCATATGCCTTATGGAACCCACAGACCTGCTTTGCTTGTGCCTCACAATGGTTTTTTTTTCACTGGTTGTCCCTTTATCGAATGGGGATACTTCATAATAAACATCTATTTTCTCTTCTGTTTTTGAACGTTAGAATGTGGGACACCCTGAAGGCCATCTCTGCAAATGCAATCAGCAGGATCTGGGCACCAGCTGCCCTCTCACTCCCGCCCCCCCACCCCTACCCCATGAGACATATTCTTCAGGCTGCCCAGCCTGCACCCCTCCTCGCCATGGCCAATGCCTTCCTGGTCTCTGGAGTCCTGTTTGCTGGGGCTGTTATGGCTGGCAGGTGAAATGCAGGCTGCCCAGTTCAATTTGAATTTCAGATCAACAGTCAATAATGTGTAGGGTAAATAGGTCCTAAATATCACATGGAATATGTTTTAAAAAGTATTCATTGTGGCCAAAACCAGTTTGGCTCAGTGGATAGAGCAATCAGCCTGGGGACTGAAAGGTCCCAGGTTCCATTCTGATCAAGGGAATGTATCTTGGTTGCAGGCACATCCCCAGTAGGGGGTGTGCAAGAGGCAGCTGATCAATGATTCTCTCTCGTCCATGTTTCTAACTCTCTATCCCTCTCTCTTCCTCTCTGTAAAAAATCAATAAAATACATTAAAAAAAAAAAGTATTCATTGTGTATGTGAAATTCAAGCTGAACTGATTGTCTTGTTTTTTAGTAAAGATGGCAACTCTACCTGGACCTTTTCCTCTGGCCTCAGATACCACTTATGTGCCAACAACTTCCAAGTTCAGCTTTGATCACAGTCTTCCTATAAACCATATAAACCTCCACAATCTCTTACTTTCTATTCTATAGGAGGGCCCTGCTTTTCAATGTCATTAGCTTCTCCATCATGCTCTGGCACTTCCATTACTATCCTTCTGGCTCTCCCCCTGTACCAAACCAATGCCAAACCTGCCACATTCTGCCTGCCCCACCCCTCCCTGTACAACCTGTATCACCCGAGGTCACTCTTTCTGGCGACGTCAACTCCTCTCTCTCCCTCTCTCCCAACATTTAACTAGTCACCCAGGACAAGTGATTTTCCCCGAGACCTTCTCTCACATCACACCTTCTCCATTCCCGTTCTTCCTGCTGCTATTTTTGTTTTTAATCTCTCAACTGAAATACTGCCATGGCACCCTAACTGGTCACTCTGCCACCAGCTGTTCCCAAACCCAAGTCTCCCTGCAAAATGCTGCATGGAAGGTGTTTTGAAAAACAAATTTAGTTTGCTCACTTCTTTGCCCAAACCTTCTGTTGCGAGGTTCAATTCCAGTGGTATATTCATCATATAACAACTTTCTACATAGAGTCTTGTTCTGGGCTCTTATTTCCATTTCATTGGTTTGTTTCTGTATCCCAGTCCAGGGCCACACAGTTTTCATAAACATGGTTTTGTAGAATGTTACAAGAGCTAATTATGGCAAAGTTCCTCCTCTTCGCTCACTCTTCTTTTTCAAATTGATTTGGCTACTTAATTATATTTAATCTCTCCAGAATGGATTAGGACAAAATAGTATCATGTTCCTAAAATGTTCTAGAGCACTAGTAACTGTAATTGTAGTAGTTTGGGGAAGGGTTATTTTTACAATATTTTTTTTTCCTTTAGATTTTTCACGACCTTATTTTCTCACTTAAGTAGGTAGGTAGTCACCACTTGCTTTATGTTTCAATTTGATCTCTTGTGTCCAACCGAGTGGCGACTTTGATATCCTTCTGTGGTCTGGAAGGATGAGTTGGGGCATAAGCTATGAAGCATCACTCTTGTTCCTCCGAGTTACACCAGGTTGAGGGGTGAAATCAAGAGAGTGAGGATGATGGTGGCAATGGGGTCAAAATGATCCCTCAGCCCCACCCCCCAAACAGGATGATCAGATCCAAGATACTCCTCTTCTTGCCCTGCCCCTGTGGATCACTGGGAGGCTGGTCAGGAAAGCAGAAGCCACTCCAAATATGAAGAGTAAGGAAAGGGTTAATACTGGGAGTGAAGGCTGCACAAGCAAAGGTCAGGGAGGTCACTGAAATGCAAAACTTCTCAAGTGGTGATTCTCAGGAGGATATGGCAAAGCTCAAGAAACACACCCTACCGCCTGTGCGGTCTCCCATGTGCCTTTCAGCAGCGGCCTTGAACAGTGGCTCCTCCTCTTCTACCTTCCAATCTCATGCAATTGCCACTCCACTGTCAGGACCCAATCAGGATCCCACTGGCCAGGGCATGTAGAAATGGTGATATAAAGGCTCCTAGGGACAGGGAAAGCACTGGGCACTGACAAACTATATATGGCACACTGTCTGTCTTGTTCAAGGGTGCAATCTCAACCAATACACAGTGACTGAATTAATGAAGGCAAAAGGGTCCCAGGTCAGAAACAGGACTGTTGGGGGAGTGGGGGATGGAAAATTCTTCCACAACCTCAGTCAATGATGAGATGTGCCCTATCTCCTGACATTGTGCGGGTGCTGTGGCCTGCTGCTGACTTTATTGTGGAAGCTTGACAACATTCACCTTCACGTAGAAATCTGGCCATGTTGGTCTGCTGTGTCAAACAACACTCTTGTGGTTCACCATCACCTTGAGAATGGAATCTGAACTCTTCATCATGACTTCTAAGCCTCTGCATAATCTGGGCTCTTCCTAACTCTACGACTTACCTCATTCTACCCTCTACCACACTGTGGCCACATGGGCCTTTCCGTTCAACCAAACGTGGCAAGCACTTGCCCTCCTGAGGGCCTCTGTCTAAGATGCTGCAGTTCCACATCTAAGACTGATGTTGGCGACACTCCATAAATATCTGCTGTTACTCAAATAAGTGATCATTTTGACCCCATTGCCACTGTCATCCTCACTCTCTTGATTTCACCTGATGTAATGGAGACACAAGAGCGATGCTGCATAGCTTATCTCCCAACTCATTCTTCCAGACTACACACATCCTCCAAAAGGTCCCACAACCTGTGTGCATTTCAGCCAAAATTCTAACCCTGAGAGACCACAGGATGAGAGTGATTACGAAGCAAGAATGCTCATGTTCCCTGAGAGCAGCACCCGCACGAGCACAGGCCCCGGAGCCCACCAGCAGAGCAGCGAGGAAGTGGGGTGGGGTGTGAGACACACCCCAAACACCATCTTTTAAAACTGGAAATGCCTGATCTTGTGGGCTCTTTCATGAAACCCCTTCTTGATGTTTGAAACACTTCAATGCATAAACATGTGTCATGGTGGGTTTGTGGGAAAGCCAGATGCACCAAAGACAGGCTGAAATGTCAAAGTCGTTGTTCAAATCACCCTGTTTCCTCTGAGTGTCTGGCAGATGTTGGTCAAGGCTGTGCAGCTGGATGCCTCGAGAGCTCCCCACAGTCGGGTCCCACAGCCTTTGGCCGGCAGAAAGGGGGCAGCCAGCCTCGGCCTGGTAAGGGAAGAGCACTAGGCTGCACCTGTTTGTTATCTCACAAATGAGATACTTGCCCCTGAGCCTGGTTTGCAAACCAGCTGCAGCTGTCTCACCAGTCCAGAATCTCAACGCTAGAATGGTCACCCTATCATGGCTCTTCCTCACCGATGAAGACCTGAGCTCCACAGCAGTAAGAGGAATCCCCGAAGCCCACAGCCGCTGTCTGGAAGAGTCAGAAAGAACACCAGTCCTGTCTCCTCCTACTGCCCCTCCCACACACGTGAAACACCTGGACTTGCCCTGGCACACCCGCTGCCTGTCGGGGCAAGAAGCGGACCCTGTCTGAGTCAGCCTCTGCTCTGCAGACACCTGGCCCAGGAGCACCGGACCCCACGGTGCATCCATCCTTGCACGCCTCACCTCACAGATGAAGGCGACTGCCCTGTGAAGAAAGGGGTGCTCTTCCGGGGCCTGCTGGGGCTCCATCCCTCAAGGCAGGGATTCCAGGGAGGGAGCAAAAGGCATGCAGTTTCCTTCCCCTGGCAGCTCTGAATTAACTCACCGCATGGCTCCGCGTTTCCTCATCCCTGCACAGCAAATACTTCTCTACACTCTACACCTGCACCTTGCTGCTCGCTCGTGCATGCATGTGTGTGTGCGTGTGCGTGTGTGTGTGTGTGTGTGTGTGTGTGACCTTCTGCAAAGGCCCCGCTCACTCTCCCTGGGCTCTGGCTAACAAGGCCAGGGGAAGGGCCTGGAGAGAGTTGGAGCAAAGAATAAGGACCCAGTAACTATAGTCCCTAAAGAGTCTGATCCCCCCCACACACCTTCTGGTTCTATTTGAGCTTTTCAGCTCCCACTCCCCAGAGTGAGGCACAGGATGGGTGGGAAACTGCGGAAGCAGCAGGTGGCAGGAACCACTTCCTTTCACAGAGGTCTTGGGGT